AAACGCGGACAGAGAAGGTAGCAGATTGTGCTAGGCTCTTTTCGCTGGTAAACATTTTAGTCCTCAGTCTACGGTTTTGATTGTCGTGGAGCGCGCTAACTAAACGTTGTTTGGAAAGCTCAAATCACTTGGGGTCGTTTTCGGGCGACCAATTCGGATTGCAAATTATTTCCAATACCCTGCAAAACGGGATAAAAACGGAGTGATTAGAAACTTGGGAATATTATTTAACAGTGCAAAACTCTTAGTTTGAAGAGGTACGAACCTTCAGTCGTAAGAACTAAAAACCCATATTTGGAATCAGCCAGACTAAATGCCGGGGGATGACTGTTGCCTTATGGCGCACACACACACCTAGGGGATTTAAGCATCAGAAAAGGATTGAGTGCATTGCGAGGCCGTCGATGATTAAGATCTCACACTAAAGATGATTGAGTCTCGGAAGGAGAGAGAGAGAGAATAAGAAGGAAAGCAATCTGAAGGTTTAAAGCATGCAATATCTTATATCTCAGGCCATGTGTTCGCTACTGTTGAGAAACATATGTTGCCCATTGCTATCAGATAATTTCTCTGTGCACGATGTAAAATGATTTATACACACAGTTGTCCAAACTTTGCCAGCAAGCTATGAAGTTTTGTAGGGAAACAGACAAAGAAGTAAACCATTGTTTTATCCATAAATTAGTGACTTTGAGTATCATCCTGTCGTCCCGAGAAGTGAGGCTAGATGGATTAGTTGGCACGATTAGGGTAGACGAACCCAGTGTCACGAGAGACCGCCATTTTGTCTGGTAAGCGCTGGTTCGCTTCTGTGCATTCGACATTAGTCTAGCGATACATTTCTCTGTAATCATTCTGGGATTGATTTTTGTCAAGTAGTTGCATTTGCATAGGAATGAGCATAATTCTTTTCAATTTGATCTCCTTTCATGGAATATATAACGATGTAAATTTCAGGAAGAGAGAAGGTGTCATACAACACGGAATGAGTAAACTTGGGCGGTGGTAGTGATGATATGTGAACACTTCCCTCGAGGCTGCAATTTGATATCCTTTCATACTCGTCGAGTGATTTAAATGTAGTGTTGAATTTCTGGTGTCACGAGGAAGCTTGATATTTCATCAGCTCATTTCTGAACATAACGACTGAAAGTAATATCAATTTCTAAATAGTATTTGGAGTTGCAGAAAGGACTGTCACTATAAACTCCGATAGGAGGAGGAAGTGTAACCATTTCATTTATCCTGTCGAAAAAACAGTTGTTGTTAGTTTTGGACTTTAAAAAATGATCAAGCAAAGAAGGAATCCCAAGTGCCTAAAATGACAATCTAGAACTCCGTATCGACTGATCACACGTTAATCTGTAATTTTTTAAAATTACTGCTGTTGAGTTTATGCCGAATGCCTTTTGCACTCAGCTTTTAGCATTGAATTGTTTCATGCAAAAGTTGATAATGAAAACAGGACAAATCCTCCGTCCATGCTGGGACTGATCCGCAGTGCGTTCTTTTCGGTCTTGTCTTGGTACATAATCGAATCTACAACACTTTGAGTTCTGCGACACACCTCTTGCTCACGAATGATCGTATTTACTATCGCGTTCACATCGGCCCATTCGACTTCACATACAAGAGGCACTGCTGGGGGAAGGAATGAAACCCACGCTCAATCATAATTCTCCCCAGTACCTCGTGTGTCTAAACTTAAGTTTTTTTATTATACACTTTCGTGTGATGAACAGCAGACGGGGCGAACCCCATAGTCACGAGGACTTGCTGTTCAGTGGTGGAAACCGGCAACCTAAGCCCCGGAACTTGGAATGGCGAAACACATAGGTGTGGTATTGGACCGGACGACAGCAAAGCTGCCTACCACCAAGGTTGGGTGGCGGTGGCGAGCCTCAAACCATAGAATCCAAAGCTTGCCAGTGACAGCGACTAAACCACTACGCCACCACCACCCGCGGTGGTTTATTGAAAAAAAAACATTGTTTATCATTACTAAATTGAGCTACTGATTATAAGGCTCATCGTTTGCAGCAGTCCCATGAAAACGTAATCTGATTTTTTACCGTCTGAGACCCGCTGAACTATGTGAACATACTGTTGCGGAACAGACAACCAATTTCTTTGGATTTTCCGTTGTCCCAGGAAAGCATCTGGCATTTATCGGTTTGGCCGGCGAGGACAAGTGCTTTT